ACACACACACACACACACACACACACACACACACACACACACACACACACATCGAAGTCGTTTCCACCTTTACAAATTATAATAAGCACTGCTTCATTTTCATTTTTTAAGAACAGCATAAGTACCTCTGGAATGGATTACCCCATGATGTTTGTCTAAATGATATAAAGAAATGCCAATAAATTTGGTAGTGTTTGTACAAATCACCGAAACGCAAAACTCTAACAACCACCTAATTTATCTTTTCCGCGCAACATACTCAAAGGTACGTCACAATATAATACCTGATATTGATAGTATTTTTGGAGTTGTCTTCCTTATTATCCCGACCTCTCCGACTCGTCCGGCCGATATGAGAGAAAAGACCAAGGGCTTGTGTGTGTGTGTGTGTGTGTGTGTGTGTGTGTGTGTGTGTGTGTGTGTGTGTGTGTGTGTGTGTGTGTGTGTGTGTGTTTGTGTGTGTTTGGGTTTAGGGGTTACGATAAACATAATTGTTAGGTTGCTGTATTTTGGCTTTTCTCTATGATATCTTTTGTGACTTGACAGATGATTTAAAAGCAATATCATAGATGTATACTTGTACAATCTTATTCTTACCATTGAAAAGAAAGAAGGGTTTCTTTGGTGGCTTTGTTAGTGCACTGATAGACACAGCAATGTTGCACCATCTTTTCTGATCTCATTTTCTTCAGTCTTCCACTTCCAGGTTAATCAAACGTTTGCAGGTAATGAATTTACTTTAGAGAAAGTCTCAAATGCAGTAAGACGTTAATCTAGAAAGGGACTAAAGGTTCCACATGCTTGCACTTTTAAGAGAATCTCTTTGGATTAAAACACAACCTTAGAATCTTATAAAACACCTCCCATAATAAGAATAGAGACACGCCCACTCAAGTGTAAACAAACTTCTTGACCGACTCAAACATGGCCGTCAAGGAACTCGAAAGTTTCCGAGTCACATGACCTCGTGCGGTCTCTAGTCTAAAAAGGAAATAACTCTGTGAGCACTATACAGAATTGCCTGGGCGAAATATAAAAATATGTGAGGCAGCGTGGTGGAATCAAGCTCTAGTCAAAATAATCAAAGTGAAGAAACTTGCATTTTTCCGCAGGTTTGTGAATTTTTATCAAATGTTTGTTGTTTGGCTCAACACCCTTCAAGCCCATTAAAGAACTCATTTCTGTGTCGATTTTTCAGAAAAATGTTGATTAAAGGCACAAAAAATATACATTTTCAGTTACCACGGACTCTTAAGCTAAGGAAATAACCAATCTTTGGCCGCCATTTTCTCACTAAGTTTACCTCTGAAAACAGGTGACCCCCACTTCCTTCTTTCGCAAATATCTCGACTTGTACTCAAGATAAATGGATATTTTTTTCATTGAAATAAAGACAAGTGAACAAGCTTTAAGATGACACCAATAACTCTACATGCCCAAAAATTGACGAGAGCCTGACTCCACCACGCTGCCTCATATATAGAGGAGGAAGATTGCCCGAGCACTGCTTCTCTCCCTTTTATCTTGCTTCCTTGATATGCTCCAAAGGAGAGACTACATCGTCCGTCAGTACGTTTGGAATCAAAGGTGTGAGGGTGTGTCTGACTACTACATTACTTTTGCTTATCTGTTAGATTTTAT